GTGATCGTTGATCGGCCAGAAGACTGCAATCGGTGCACCCCTACTATTAATATTAACACAGTGACATTAATATGAGTAAAGAGTAGTTTCAAATACAACGTGTGGCTATAAGGGATTTTCTGACAGTTGTTTCGTATGATTATCTGTTACAGATATGAAGAATACCAGATGAACAGAACCATCTTAAATGAACCACAACAGCCTTCAATCTCTCAATTTCTGGACACTGGTGTAAGGCAGTACAGCTTGAGTCACCCTCAGCAGAAAGCCATCACCAATGCCATATTGTCTGATTTGATTATTGATTGCAACATTCCCCTGTCCATTGTGGAAAAAAAGAGCTTTCGTCACTTTCTGTCAGTGCTTGACAGTAAGTACAGCCCAGTGTGTCGCAGAACACTGACTGCAAAAACAGAAAGCCTCACTGAGGAGAGACGTTTAAAATTAAAAACTCAATTGAGCAACACTGACCATGTTTCAGTCACTGTGGACATCTGGTCCGACCGAAAGATGAGGGGATTCCTTGGTGTCACTGTGCACTGGGTAGAGAAAGACGCAGAGAGGGTACAGCTAAAGACTAATCTCTTGGCCTGCAACCGCTTCAAAGGTTCTCACACTGCTGAACGTATCTGTGACCAATTTGAGGCAATATGTGATGAATACGACATCAAAGCTAAATTGGACTATATTATTAGTGACAATGCTGCTAACATGCGAAAGGCATTCACTGTGTGCTTCCCCAGTGGACAAGAGGATGATAGTGATGACGGAGATCATCTTGATGACCCTGAGCTGTGGTGTGACTTAACCCTGGAAGATCAGCAAACAGTAGATGCTGCTATGGCAAAGAAACAGCGTCTGCAGTGTTTTGCACACGCACTGCAGCTGGTTGTGGGAGATGGTTTGAAAGAAACAAAAGTAGTATGTCCTTCTCTTTCCAAATTATCAAAACTTAGCTCACTGCTGCACACAAGCACAACGTTCAAAGATCTTTTTGATGATGAATTTGGGGAGCAGAAAGGCATCCCTGCTGCAGTGAAAACGAGATGGAACTCAACACTGAGGCAAGTAAAAGCAGTCCTTCAGTGTGATCACCTAAAGCTCTGTGCTGTTCTTGAAAAGGCCGGGCATAAGGAGCTGTCATTCTCACCACGAGTCAGTCGTGACATCAAGGCAGAGGTGGCACAACGAGTTAAAGGTAAATATTATTGACTTTAATGCAACTTTTTAATAATTTACTTTTAAAATTTGATCTAATTGACTAACAATAATTACATCTTTCAGTCTAACACTGTCACCAACATCAGTGTAATAAGGGCTCTCTTGTTTCTGCTGTCATTGTTACATGTATTTCCAGAATTGATCCTGCAAGATGCTGCAGAGACTGAGCCGCCCGTGTCTGTTGTTGATGAGGAAGAGCAAGATGAACTTGGGCAAGGGGAAGGGCTGTTTGCTGCATACCATAAGAGGCAGAAAAGGGATGTACTGTAGGGACCACGCCAGGAGTACAGCTAAGTCACTACATTGACATTGCAGAAGGACAGAACGCCCTTTTGTTCTGGGCATTGAACATGAAAACTCTTCCTTCACTCTTCCGAGTGGCCATCAGAGTCTTGGCAGTGCCTGCATCTAGTGCTCCGGTGGAGCGAGTTTTCAGCCATGGTGGCATCATTCTGCGTCCCCATCGTGCACAAATGACTGACAGACTTTTGGCCAATCTGATCTTTTGCAAATGCAATGCAGTGTAGGGCCTTGACATAAAAGCATGTTATGTTCATGTATTCGCCTCCCCCACCCCCTCCTCTAATCTCTCTTTCTCTCTCTCTTTCACTCTCTCTCTCTCTCTCTTTTGTGACAAAGAGTTTTGGAGAGTCAGGACACTGATTTTTGGGGTGTAATTATCTTTTATAAAGTGGAGACATGTTTGAAAAGGTTCTGGTTACAAGGTTACACTTTTGAAAGTTGTTAAACATACTGAGAAGTATAGTTTCTGTGGTGATGCATTTAAGTAAAACTGTTTTGCAGTACAAGGTCAACTCGTTCTTGTGCAATATGCTGTGGAGACGAGACGCAGCACTGTTCAGCACTTTTTCAGATAATTTCATTTGTATGTTTATGTATCTGAGCAATGTTCTTTTATAAAAAAAGGTTTGTTTAATAAATACAGATCTTACAACCATACATAATCTATATACATTTGATTTTTCTGTTAAAAAGACTTGAAAAGACTCGAAAGTCAAACCGTAGGACTTTGGACTTGACTTGAGACTTGTTGGCCTTTGACTTGGGACTTGAC